AGTGCCCTCTCCCTGCTCCTGGTCTGTGTTCGGTAGCGCCCGAGTAGACCGCTCCGTGCTCATTTCACCAGTAGTCCTTACTGGGACCCCTTCACTAGGCAGCCTCTCGCTGTCCATGTGTTCTGCATGAGTACGGGCCTCTGCTTCACCAGTGTTGGATGGTGAGTACCCAGTGTGAGAGACCTGTCGTGTGAGTCCCGGATTTGTGAGCACTGGTGTACCAGTATGTTCCCTGTGCCAGGCACTCGTAATGCTACTTTGGTCTCAAACTGTGCGGAGTCTTTGCTTTGTAACGACCCCTGAAGATCACCCAGTGTTAGACATCCATGAGTAATCCACCACATAAAATTCCCAGAGTTTTGAACAGATCACATAAACACCTGTTACTCCCATCCTCCTCTGCCTCCCAAGCCTCCTTGCAAGAGCGTCCACCAAGGGCCTGCTTCGTTTTGTCCCTGGCCACTCTTGTTCAGTGTTTGTCTTGAACCCCATGCCCTCTGGCCTTCGGAAGTGACCCGCCAGGATGGCGGTGTGGCCCAGCATGTCAGCACCTGCAGCCTGCCTGCGCCGGGGAACCGGGCGTGCTGGTGCAGATAAGAGTTCAGACACTTCGGGGAGTAACTTCTCTCTGACAGGAAGTTACTTCCTCTCAGCTGGGATGTGTTACTGAGTCGCTGCATGCTCCAAGTCTGTTTGAAAGCAAAATTAATGTAAGGGGTTGTTGAAATTAAGTTTTCGCTGTTCAACTTTGCTTTTAAATGGGATGGAGCTTATGTGGTGAGTTTCCAAGCTTCAGCTGAGACTCAAGAGCGTTGGTCCACCAGCGTGCATGTCACTTGTGTCTTTGTATGTATAGCATGACTATCAAATCTGTGAGAACCTGTACTTTATCAGTACTTAATGAATACAAATTTTTTATGTTTGTCCTAGACCCTCGTGCACCCTCACCAATGCAAGCGGTCATCATGCAGTCTGTGTTTCATTAATGAGGTGTAGTGTATGCTTCTCCGTGTTTAAAGTGTAATCTATTAATGATCTTATTTGGAGTCCTTGCTGTTCTAACACCCAGGATCTATACATCTCTTGCATACTTTCAGCTGCTGTCATGACAACCCAGCTCTGTGGATTCCTACTTAACCTGCCACCCCAGCAAGTCTTCCCTATATGCTCTTCATAACTCCTGTGTGATTACATCAGAGTACCAATAATGAAAGGAGGGCAGGGAGACTCCACTGTGAGTTTCTTTACCCAGGTCTTTTGTAAATCCATGTCTGTCCTTTTGTAGATACCAACTGTTTAGGAACTGCTGCTCAAAGTAGCCGTTTTGCTTGGCGTTGTCCTGTGTCTGTTCTCCATCCCAGACCTCTGTAGGTTACAGCATCAGCTTTGTGCTGTTTCACTCTTTCATTGCTGTAAGAGAGTTGAATTCCATCTGTGTCTCTCCGTAACAATATTACCTTGTTGTTATTGTGTTTTTTAAATGTGTTGGAGAATGTTCTGTTGAATGAATTAGTGCTATTGTCTCTGTTTTATTGGTGATGGAAACTGAGGCAGGGGTGAAGACCTTGCCTCTGAAATGTTTTCCAGTAAGCACTTTGATTCCTCTTAGTAACCGGTAGATTGCTTCACCTTTCTTCTCACACTTCTTACTTTAAGAAGATCACGACAGCAAATTAAGTGAAATGATTTGTATTTTTCTAAAATTCATATGTGTGCTTAAGTGTTCTTCAGATTTAGTGGCAAGACCTGGTGAAAAGTTGCTGTGTCAATGGACTTGGGAAAGTGGCACTGCCATTAAAATTAGCGCTATGATTTCTACTTATTCCCATGTTTGTGCCAGCATGCACGGTTGTACAGATTGACAAATGATCTAATCATAATTTTATTTTTTCCCTGGTTAGTTTTCACAGAGATTGGTTCCCTCTAGATCGTTGCATGGCTTCACAAACACTTGTGCCTGCACAAGTGTGAGGTGGGAATAAGCAGACAGATGGCAGAACTGCTGCTTTCAGCAGCCTTGTGATCTGATTATGTTTGTGCAGTTGGGGAAGCAACTTTGAAAAAGTTGTTCAGTATTACATGCAAAATTCTAGGTCGGTGAATAAATTGCTCCTGCTAAGTGTTTAGAGGTGGCATGTCTTCTAGCATTCAGAAGGTTTGCAGGCAGTCTTATCGATAACTGGGTAGCTCACGAAGATATGAGGTTGTCTTTGAAGCTGAGCTTCATCCTGTACAGCAAAAAAAAACGTGAATGGGAACTGGCATTTTTCAGTGAGTGTATGTTGCAGCTTTCTGCCCAGAATCCTTTTGGAGATTTTGTCCATAGACAAAATATCTGTTCTCAGAGTAGTAGTCTAAAATAAGAGTTTGTGTGTGAATTCTAGAAATATATATTTTTTTTAATTACATTAATTACAGGGAGGATGAAAGATTTATAAGGAGGTATCCTCACACAAGCATGACTCATATTCCTTGCAGGTCTTTGAACAGTGAAACTGGGTAGGATCAAAGAAAAGCAGGTGGCTGAATCACTTGGACAAGGGGTTCTAGTGTGTCATCTTTTGAACAAAACCTGCGTGTGACACCTCCGGATTTTTGTAACTTTTTGATGCCAAGATGAGGACCACAGCAGGGCTCGAAGGGAAGGAACTTTGGAGCAGTTAGTAGGAATGAGATGGAATGCCTGTTTTGAAAGGGTGGATGTTTTGGACTCTAGCACAGCCCATACATGGATTAAATAGTTGGCATTTTCATAGAGTGATATCTCTGCAAAGGCCGTGGGGTGTTGGTCAAGGGTATCACTAGGGAGCCGTTGGATTGGAGAGAGTGACTCATGGTGTCAAAAGAAGATAGCTGGAAGATACTGAATCTGTCCAGCAGTGTCTTGGAGAGAATAAGCTCAGCAAATCCTTCCAGCCACAGGCTTCCTCTTCTCTTGTAGGCTTCCATTGATCTGCAAACGTTTTATTCTATTGCTGTCTTAATTGAAGAGCTTTCTTCTACCTATAATTTCACTTCACACTGAGTTGCTCTCTAAGCCACCCCTTCCCTTCTTCATGGGGTATGTTCTGCAGAGCATGCCCTGTCACCTTGCTTCTAGCAAGGTGGTGGCTCTCAAACTACAGGTGCGGCAGGAATGTAAAGATTATCCTGGAGGTGTGGAAGCTGATACAAAGTTTGAAAATTGCTACTCCAGACAAAAATTTTCACTTATAGAAAGTGTTATTTTGACACCATTCTTGAAACTCAGATGGATGAGTAAAGTTATGGAACACTGCAATTGATTAAAAGCAGGCTTTTTAGAAGTGGCTGTAGAAATAAATTTTAAGGGGATGCAGGAAGAGTTGTAAAAACATTTTGCTTCACTCACGTAGGGAGAAAGTAAACTGAGTAGCCTTTTTTCCTGTGTTTCTTACCTTTCTTACAAATAACTCGTGCCCCTTTGTTTCCTTTCTGGTTTGGTCTTGTGCAACACACTCAGCACCTCCATGATCGGTGGAAACAATACCATGTCCTGCCTTCTATGGTGGAAGTGGAAAAGGGTTGCCCACCAGTGTGAAAGGGCTCAAGGTTCACGCTACTCACTACTATTTTTCTTCTAGTAGGAAAGTGAGCAGAACTGCAAGCGTGTGCAAGAAGGTTGTGACAGGATGGGAAGGGTAAGTGTGCGAAGAGGAGTTCAGTTGAAGCTGCGCTGTGAGGAATGGACTTCTTTTCTTAAAGATTCTCACATCTCTGCTCACTATAAAGATTCCCCTTGGCACACAGAAATCACCCTTCTGAGTTTTGATCCTGCACAGTGTCTGCCTCAAGGTCTTCAGCTTGCCTACTTAATTTTTATTTCGACAGCTTTTTGGGGAAGACATCGTATGGTTAACGCATTTGCCAGTTGTTCGCTTCTTACAGTCCCTTGCTGAAGGTCACGTTTTAGCAAACAGGATTATTTTAGTGGCGACCACCCGTACTTGACACAGTTTGTAAGGGGAATCGTTTGTTCTACCCCTGTCATCTGGTACCTGGTAACCAAGAACAAGATTTTGCAGCTGGAATGGCTAATGTGGCCCATGCCCTGCTTCTGACCTGGCCGAGGAGCTCTTGGGAAAGATGCTTACCCCGAGCATCTTGCATCAAATGCCTGGATGATGGCTTGCTCATATCCTCCTCATCTGGCAGGGGAGGACTGTGTCAGAGGCATTAAATGGTGCGTATAGCTGATCTGCGTGCTGGTGATTCCTCTGGTGCTTTAGGGAGGCATCAGAGCTGCTGTGCCTGCACAGGCTGCCAGCCCTGCGCACGCACAGAGGCTCCAGAAGACAGAAGTGTTGCTGGCAAACGTGTTCTCTGCCACAGGAATAATCTGTATGGCTTTACCATCTTCTGTGATTGAAGGCCTCTGGGTTAAAATATTTTCTAGGTGATATTCCATCTTGACCTGAAGACTTAGCTTGGAAATCCGTCAGTTCCTTTCTTCATTGATGACTTGCAGTATTTTGCAGCAACTGTTCCATTTGGCTACAGGACAGAGATTCAAATACCCTGTCTGGTGCCAGACCTTTGTATTCCATTGTATGTTCAGGTCTAAGATCTGTCGGTTTATATATGTATTCCAGAAGGGTATGGGGTGGCAGTACTGCATCACCTTAGTTCTTCATTAGTTAAGTTTGGAGACATTTAAATTCGATGCAGTTTAAAAGTGTGGAGTTGGCTAACCTTGTGCCCATTAGTTTTCTCAAAGAAAGTTGTGATTCTGCTGAAAGTGAGTGTAACTTGACCCTGTAGTGAAGAAATGGTTCTGGGGTTTGTTACTGGCCCTCTGTTTTTTTTGCCTTAGTTACTGTGTCTTGATCCTATGTTGGCACTAGTGGTGGTGATTTCCTGGTGATTTAGATTGAAATAGTTTTAAATCTTCCTGTACAGTCCCAAAGCTGATTTTTTCCAAAATGTTAAATTACTGTCTGATGCTTTCTTTTAAGGCACTGAAGAAAGATCAAGCGTGTCAGTAGGTGTGTATGTATACTTACACATACATGTAAATAAAAATGTTATGGCTTGCAAATTCATAGGATTACATGCTTTTCTCAATTTCTTGTTTCTTGGCTGCAGCTTGACTTCCTGTTTTAGTCTTCACAACTTATCATAATGTTTTGAGTTGGACCCTTGTGCTCGACTCCTTACTTTCCTTTGTATAGGTTTCTTTGCAAGCATTTTTGTGAAACTTTGCTTGGAAGCTTACCAAAGTATGAATTTCATATTGTCTTAAAAAACCCCAATGTTCTTCCTCCGTTATCCCTACTCAGAGTTCAGCTGTACCGGTTGACGTTACTGTTTTTGATGTCAGATGTTCGAAACTATATTGTTTCTCTTCAGGACTTAGTGGTATGGCAGTGGAGACTTACTTGTGTGGCAGACTCTATGCAATAACTTGTGTTTATTGTCACACTTGGTAACATTACACAACAGCTATAATGATTGCTTGGTCATGACTAAAGATCAACACCAGTCACAAAACAAAAAACACAGCAAGGAAACAGGCAGACAGGGAAGTGTTGTCGCATGTCTGTGTGTCTGTCTGACTTCATTCTGTTTTTCCTGTGTATTCATGTGGTTTTATATAAGC